TGCACTTGCAGCGTGGACCAGACTTGTGTGTTACTAACGATAACCATGGTCTGCGATTTGCCAGATTGCTAACCTGAAGTTCAGGCCCTAATCACAGAATAGGGCCTGACACAAAACCTATCTAAAGTGTGAGATTCCCGTCCACGTTCCTGATTGGTTGATCAGCATCATGAAGGATTTTGATTGGTTGCAAGTTTACATAAACAACAGTTTTAAAAATAGCTCGGTCAAGGCAACAATTAATATAAAGGTCAAACGCACGTACAAATTCCATTATCGATTTCTTCGAATTTCTTTTTCTTTTATGCTTTATGGCAGAAAATAAATCAAACAAACAGTATTTTGAAAGGGCTTTATCAAAATCTTGGACGAATTTTGGACACACGACGCCGAAAGAACAGCCAAACTAGTCATGTATTCGAAAGCTTGTTGTTGACAGCCAAGATGTTTTGCCAACTGGCTTCGTCGGCAAAAGTCTTATTTTTAATATCAGGTCCTACCGGCGTTGTTTTCTGAGCTACATCGCCTTCTTCATGGTACGATTGAGAATTTCATTGTTGCTGTTGTTAGCCCGTTTTAATAAAGTATATCCCTAATATCCGCGTCCAGCAAGTTGAGACGTTGAGAAAGCTTGGCAGTCTAGCTGTGCACAGAACTGACTAATTAAATCTTTGTCTGAATCTTGTTTATATAAAAGTACCTTGAATTTTTAAGTTTAATTATAAAGCAAAATGCACACTCTGCGGACATGTTCATGAGAATATAATTTTTTTGTGTAACGAAATCTATAACACTTGTCAATCATATTGCATGTTGTGTCTAAAAATAACATGTGGGCGTCCCACGGTCTAGACAGGTTTTGTGTCAGGCCCTATTTCAAATTAGGGCCTGAACTTCAGGTTACCAGATTGCTAAAGCCCCGTTTACACTGCGCTCAATTTTTGGTACGGCACGGATAAAATTGGTACCCGTACCACTTTTTTGGTTCTTGGACCAAGAACCAAAAACGTGGTACGGTACCAAAAATCGAGCGTAGTGTAAACAGGGCTCAAAATATAGGTAGTCAAAGAACCAAAAAAAGTGGTATGGGTACCAATTTTATCCGTGCCATACCAAAAATTGAGCGTAGTGTAAACAGGGCTTAAATTTGCTAACTGCATGCTTAATAAGGTTTTTCTCTTATAAAAGCATGCACTTAGAATGGCAAGCTAGATCTTGACGGCAGGCATAGCAAACTTAGCAATCTGGACAATTTGTTAGGGTTCACTATAGTAAACTGTACTCTGGCCAAATACCTAATTCTTCAGCCATAGCAAGGGTGAAAGTAAAATCAAGTGCCATGCCACCATACTCTGTTGGTTTGTTCAAGCCAAGAAGACCAGCACTTCCCAGTTTCTTGAATACGTCATGAGCTGGAAACCTACATGCTGCCTCCCATTCGTCCACGTACGGATTTATATCTTTCTCGATTATTTTATTCAGAGTACGTCGTAGTTCTACGTGTTCGTCCGTGAATATGGATTCCCTGGTAATGTTATCTGAAGAACTAGAAGCAAGGAAAGCTTTGAGCGTTTTTGAAAAATTGACCTTTGTACTTGTTGGCGTAGTATGCAGACATTTCAGTGAACGTAAACAGTTTGCCACACGATACATGGTTATACAGGCTCCTATATATACAGGCTCCTCGCTATAACAAGCTCCAAATTATTCTTTATTCCAGTAAGTAAAAATTCGAGAATTTTTAAAAAAATATATAAATTTTTAGAATCAAATTATATTGATTTGATTTTAACAATCCGTCTCCTATCGTCCTGCGCATGCCCGGAGCCAAATGCAATAGCGTTGTCCGCAATTGACGTCACGAAAATTCGACCCCCCGCGAAGACTCAGACAAACATTGGCAACATTTAATATAAATAGTATTATGATTAAGAGCTTCCTGTGAGTTAGTTTGATAGTTTGATGTTTGTTTACGGTTTATTTGTGCGATATCATACACACCTTGTACTTTTCGCTTTACCTGAAGTGCCAGTGCAAAATATTTTTGCTTTGGAAGTAGAAATATACACTTTTTCGTCACTTTAGTATCGACTGTCATGTCGTTTCCATCATAGGCGGTATCTACTGTATTATAATAGTACATGGTTTGGCGTAACTGTTGCTATAAAGAGGCCATAAAGAAAGGGTATGCAAAAGGAAGGGCGATAGAAAGTCTGTAGTAGCAGATATTTAACCGAAAAAATCTCGTAGTCGTACCAGATTTAATTCGTAGCCCTAGCGAATCAGTTCTAAAGTTCCCTATTTAATGTTGTTGATTTCATGTTTATACTAACTTATATTTTAATACTTGCTTTAGTGTGCATTATTTTATTACTTTAGACATCTCTTTTATTAATAGCAAAGTCCAAAGCCAAAGAAGCTAGGATTGTTTACTATAATCTATTGACCACATATTCAACTTATAAAATACGGATTTATTAGGAATGTAATTAAAACTAATACTTTCCGTTGACCAGTAAAACTATTTTGTTTTGACAATACAACAAAAATATGTTATTATAAAAACAACATTTTTATTTATCTATTTTTAAATATTCAGTTTTGTAAAATAGAGAACCGCCATTTAACACTGTGTTAATTATTAAATAGCCTAACACTGTCTGGTAAACTATTGCTTCTCTCAGTCATAAATTTAACAACAGACGCTCTCACTGAAAACGATGGCGTCCCAGACTCATATTTTGAGCATGATCCATCTGCTTATACTGTCGATTAAACTCAAGCAGAGGTTAAAATGTAGAGGCCGGCTTATAGCAAAGCGGTATAAAACGCCAAGTTCTTCTTCAGCGAGTTAGCGATTGCTTTTAATAGTTCGGGAAAGCATCGTTCGCTGGATGTATTGATGGGGGGAAATGGTTAGCTGCGAAAGTTCTTGGAGAAAAACCAGCACAGTCCGCAGTCAATAACAATCAACACATTGGTACGGCAGACATTCCCGTCCCGTCCGACTTTTCAATTCCCTGTTTCGGCAGTTTTTCTTAGTATCTCGGAATCACTTGGACATGTTCCCCAGCAACAGTGCTTAGCATTAACCATGTTTGTAATTTGGGATAAATTTGAATTCGTTTTAGCACAGATAAAATAAATAAAAACGTCAATTTAGACCAATTTATGTTCGCTGCTAGTACAATTCTATACAAAATGTTAGTTTGTTTGTCTGAGTCTCGTGGGGGGTCTTCACTTGGAGAATCTATTTTTAGCTACTGCGGACAACGCTATTGAAAAAGTGTCAAAATCTACCAAAAGAGGCCAAAGCCAAATTAATAAGAAATTCTGCGACCACTTGATCTAAAGCTACGGATACACGGGCAATACTTTTCTGGCGATGGCAATGCAATGGCGGTAAAATCGTTGCATTGCCGTCGCGAGAAAGAAATTGCTTGTGTATCATGCTCTGCGACGGCAACGCAAAGCTGCGCGCAATCGTTGCCAAAATTTCAAATCATTTGATTTTCGGCAATGCCATTGCCGAAAATTGGGAGGTGTGGTCAAGGAAGGTCAAGGTTGATGAATGACACGTTTCTTGACCAGCCAATGAAAAGCGTTATGAAGACATATGTTGCAGGTGAAATATTGCAGGTGTAGCCACCTTGTGCGACGGCAACGCAATGCTGTTATCACCCATTGCGTAACCATCGCAGCAAAAGTATTGCTCGTGTATCCGAAGCTGAAGGCCTGATTCCACGACGGCGAAATTCTTCGCACGAAATCGTGTGTGCGAAATGCCGAAATGATGGATGGCTGCACACGAGTGATTCTATTGAATTTGCACATTGTATAATCAGTCGCTTTCGCAGTGAGTAGAATGGACTTCTACTCACTGGCGAAGTGAAATTTTTTCTCGCGAAGCCTAATTTATCTTTACTGCGCATGCACGATTTCATTTCGTGCGAAATATTTCGCATTTCGCCGAGAAAATGCACCCGGTGGAATCAGGCCTTGAGCCGGTTTTCCACTTGCGAAATTTTTCGCGCGAAGCGAATTTTTCTTTTGTCTTTATCCAATTAGTTCCAGATGGTTCCAGTTTAGAGACCAAAGACAAATGAAAAATTCTCTTCGCGCGAAAAAATTCGTAAGTGGAAAACCAGCATAAAAGCCGGTTTTCCACTTCAAGCGTACCGTACCGAAACGTATCAAAAACGTTTTTAAATTTCAAAATTTCGTGAACGTTGATTGGTTAGTACTTCCGTAGTACGCCAAAAAGTTGACTTGCGACGAACTTTTTATTTTGATACGCGAATACACCCGGAAGTTCCCGGAAGTACGTGTATTTATAAACCTCTTTTCAATCTGCGCATGCTCACCAGTACGTTTCGCTACGATACGGGCGAAGTGGAAAACCGGCTTAAGTGTCTGCGACCACAGTGATATGCACTATCATGAATGGTTAAAGTTTATCAGCTGCACGTATAATTGGCTGGATTTGATGAATCCTGATTGGCTAGAACTGATAACCAGGTTATTTGATTTAATATTTATGACAGTGATCAACAAAAGTAAAAATCGAATCAACGTACCTGCAAAAGTCGATTCTTTCCGGCTTTCAAACTAATCATTTACATAAAATTCTTGTAAACTGTGAAGAGGCCAAAAGCAAAAAACTTTTTCTCAGTCAAACAGAAACTACTCGAGTTATTTCGCCTCCAAGAGGGCCAATCTACCAACCCTGATGTTGTTCAGTACCTGAGAAATCTGGGCACTATAACTTTATGCCAGTATTCAAGCAGATCGCAGGAATCACAGGTTGTGAATGATTGGTTAACTTTTCCCAAATATTACACTAGGCAATTGCAGTTGGGGGTTCGCCGTGTCGCGCAGCATTGCGGAAAGTAGGAATAAGTTAATTAACTTCCCTGCAACACGCAATGCAAGCCAATTTTTCATTGCTAAGGCACAATACACCCTTTCAATAATTACATCACACATACTTTTTGGTCTTGGAGCCTTGTTCTCATTAGTAAATTACTCACGGTGATTGGCACACGATTCATGAGAGGGAGGCTCCCAGGCCAGACGACGTAATTATCGAAAGGGTGTATTGCAAACTATGAAATATGTCTTGCAATTGCAACTTGAAATACAACTGCGTTTCGTTGACTACAACCCCCCCACCCTAGTAACGGGTGACACGAGTAACTTTTGGCTCAGCAGATAGCTCTCGTGTGCTGCAGGCTTTATATTTGGGGGGGGGGCTTATATTCGGGGGGGGGGGCTTATAGTCGGAGGTTTACGGTATTTTCCCCGGACAGTATAGGATATTTGTTGCACGTAATAGACCTTATTCATAAACCGTGATGAGGCCTCGTATGCTAGGAAACGGGAACAAAACGCGGGAAAATTGACAAAATGTTTTTTCTGCTGTCGGCTATGGCAGCTTTTTTTCGTGAATATTACGGCTTTTTTCAAAAATATATCTATAAAACTGAGCTTGAAAGTTGAAAAAAATACTTCTGAGAAAATATAACATGATATTTAAAGCAAAAGATGCTGGAGTCAATCGAAAAAGGAAACCTTTGACTTTGTATTATTGTCGTAGTTTGTATGGCCGAAACAAACAACCAACAAGGCTACAAAACGTCTATACAACACCAAAATCGTAAGAAATATGAAACAATTGTTGAAGAAATAAGATTACAACTCACTCAGGTAATGTAGCCTTCATTTTTTAAACTTGTAAGCTGCTTGCAGAATGTTATCGAGCCACAGTCATTAGTTCATATTTTTCCGTACGGATCAACAACATTTGACGTTCTCTTGTGATTTTTGACTGTTATTTTCTTTCATATTTATGTCAAATTCGAAAAATTATACTTCCATTCCATAGTTGTCTTGATTCTTCACGGAATAAACCTTTATATTGACGTTAAAATCTCAGTAAAATACTGTTTTTCGCTTCTGGATAAACACCATCGCTTCGGCTACGTTGTCATTTTTTCCACACAAAAACGGGAGAAAAACCGGTCGCTTTTATAATATACTCGTTTACCGCTTTCGTTGTGGGAACAAAGTCTTAAAATACACACAAAAATCGTTATAAATCGCAAAAAGCAACAAGAAACAAGCCGTTAAAGTCGACACAATAGCATCTGAATTTGTCTTGTCAAGCAGTTTTCGCTTGTTTTCCCGCGTTTTGTTCCCGTATCCTAGGATACGAGGCCAGTGTGCGTGCAACTTGCAGTAGTGTTTGCCCATTATATGTTATGACCAACTTCACCGCTGAATGATGATGTAATACAGCTTCTTGATATCACCAAAACAATTTTCAATTGGATTTTCAAAAGAACTCTGGATCTTGTAAAGGTAATTACGATGTTCACATCTGACAAGCCATCCTCAGTCCTATTTTTTGGTACTTTTTCAGAGCCCGATATTTTTTGCGCATAATATGCCTTTCTCCATCGTTCCATGGAGGAGAGTTTGTATCATAATTATCTTAGCAAGGGTACACATTTTCACTTCCGTATCGCCTATGTCTGAAAATATTATGTAGAGCCTACTTCGCAGAAAATGAGCTGTACTGCCAGAATCCTCATACATATCACTTATATTGTTCAGTGATATTTCCACGAATTATAACATTCCGGTGATCTACCGGCCAGAGGTGACCTACCAGGTAGATTATATTCTCAGAATGAATATGGCCCGGTGTCCGGTGATTTTTTTAAGAATATCATTACCAGGAAGTGAAAAACATATATGGAATTTACCATCTTACCTGATGCAGGATCAACTCGTGGATGATTTCCGGCGTTCATGCGTTTTCTGAGATATTTATGACGGGGAATTCCCTTTACAACGACAGTCATATATACCGTTCGCGTTTTCCCAGAATCGGTCTGGCTAGCCTTTGCAATTAAATTCGCAATATTGAAGCGTAAATTCAAAGGAAAGATAAACAAAGCCCTACAGTAATTATTAGTAGCTATTCTCTATTATGGAGCATAAAAGGCAAATCAGTTCTCAGTATTAAACTCACAGTGAGTATTAATTGATAAAAAAACACATAATATGAAGAAACAAATATGAAGAAATATCCAGTTCTAAGCCGTATACATGATGTGTTATAACTTATATATATTAATAATTAAAGTGTACTTCGTTACTGTACTTGAGCACTATTTTTGAGAAGTCAGCATGTAACAAAGTAAAGTTTTTCTGGAGTACTTTTACTTGGAACGAAGTCGTTTTAAGAAGTAACGTTTTACTTAACTTCGTTATTTTTATTTTGATTTTGTGGCGAAGTATTTCGTTACTTTCTCACATTTGTTTAATTTTACGTGATTTATTCCCGATTATTTCAATTTTCGGATAGGTAATAGGACCTCTACATGCGTCTGGGATCTCTCGTTGGTGGCTTACTTATAAGCATTATTAGTTTAATGGCCCGATTTCTTATATCTTCAACGGGGTTTGGAAATTAGTAAACCATGCCGTGAAATATTGTATACTATTGTGCACGCATATAATGCATGTGCTGCTTTGTGTCTTTTGTATATCAATCCATTGGAGAAGTCCCTCACACGCTATGAACAATAGTACTTTTACTTTGTACTTCAAGTATTTTTTAAGGATACTTTGTACTTTTTACTTAAGTACGTTTTGCCTCCAGTATTTTTTACTTGAGTACAAACTCAAAGTAATTTAGGCACCACTCCAGCTATGTTTGTTTTTAGTCACGGTGCAATAAATGCACATGTGCAGCATGATACTCGCTAAAGACCGGAACTGGAAGTGGTTTGCATATGAATTTATAATGACGACCCGCGGAGCTTTTTACCTAGAATTCGCTTCAATGTCAGGAATTTGCGGCGGTTTACTCAGAAATCGTAGTTCCTTATATCCGGTCAGACTTTTTTGGGTTTTCCCTGTATTTCAACATGTGCTTTGCGCATTTTCAAATACCTGGATGTGACAACATTTGTCTTCCACAATTTCGTGGAAGACAACCGATCAAGTTAGTTCATTAATCGTTAGGTTGCTATGCTGTTGCAGTGAATGGATGATGGATCATCATTTCTTATAAAAATTTCAAGGACAAAATTATATAATTTAAATAGGCCTACTTGCGATCAAAAATCTATATAGTTTTAACATTAATATTTCAAAATTTCATCTGTGTTGACCCAGCATTATTTCTAATAAATGTTAAGCAGATACCATGGTATATACCTAGGTGGTTCAGTCGATAATGGTATCAGTCTCAGGATTCTAATGTGGACTATGGTGTAGTCGAATTTGAACGAGACTGATAATAAGTCTTTTATTTACCCAGCATATGTTTCAACATAGTGCAAAATGAAAGTCATCATGTACAGTATGTATGCTGGACACATTTAAAATATTTCATATACCCTATAAAAAAAACCTGAAGCAACAATATTAAGTACGTACACTTCTTGGCCCTTTGATAAAATTAAATTCCTCTGAGGAACCTGACAGAGAAAATTCACTAGTGATTTGAGGTTTCGAAAACAGTAGGTTACTAGGTTCATTAACGAAACTGATGTGAATTCCGGCGAAAATCGAAACACTACATTTGACTGACAGGCTTTCCTTCACTACGTATGACTTGAATACAAAAAGGTGTAGGTGTATAAATGCACTTTTCAGTAACTTTTTACAAGTTTCAACCCCATGCATTCAAAGGGGATACATTGCTCCATATGCAATTTAATACAAGCATCAGTGCCGGTTTGTGGTACTCATGAGTTGGCTCTGCAATATAAAATCTAGTATGAAAAGCATTTGTTTCAAAGCAATGATTGATCGTGGATGAGGGAATCATTGGGGAGAAATGCCCCTAGAATCCCCCCCCCCCCCTGCACATTTTGTAAGTTTATAGCGCCCTGGTTTCAATTTCAATTCAATGCGCGCCCGACTTTTTTACTTTAGTATTGTTTGACTCTTTCGTGTGCGGCTTGGTTTGCCCAGGCACTGGTGGCTATGTTCAATGCGCTTACCTGGGGATATAATAACCAAATATAGTGAAATATAACAAAATATTTGACAGGACGTTTTAGTCTTTTACCATCATAAACGAACGTAAATCGAAAATACTAAAAAGAAACAAGAAATATCTCATGTCTCGTGATGCTATATAGACAAATAACAGGTAATAGTATCAAATTTGTGTGCGGGGGGAAAACCGGAACCTGCGAAGGCATTCGTCTTCTCAGAATGGCATATAATTAGATGCGCGTGCGTGTTCGATTTCCCTTGAAAATATGATGACAAAATCTAGATTGTTAGGTTTATGTGAAGTGTTCTTCGAAGAAGGTTGCTTTTAGCGCTCAACATGACTTTGTGGGAACAACTGCAGTCGCTACAAGGCGAAGACCAAGCCAAGATCGGCGAGCTTCTAGGCAAATATTCATTAGAGCTCGAAGTTCAATCCCATCTGGCCGCTTGGCTCGAACACCAGCCTTGGTAAGTGATTTTACACAATTGTCAATTCCCTTGGGGACTACGTGATGCAATTGAACGTTTGGAAAAAAATATTAATCCGTGGGGAATTGAGAACGTTCATATTAGCCAACTGGGAATATAATAGACTAAAGACAAAAGTTGCAAATTCTGTGTGTGTTCATAATTTATACCATCACTGAGTCGGTTTATCACTTCCTGTGAAAATCGGTTCTGTTTGTTCCAATTGCCAAAGGAATTACTGAATATTTCTATTCGCCAGCACAGTATATTTAACCTGTGTAGTGTGCATTTGTTTTAGCGAAAATAGCTGCGTGTTCTAAAGTATAAATTTAATGTAGCTAGTATTTATCCTATGACTATGTTCGGTAGTTGTATACTCTGTACAAACGACAAAATTGGGAAGTTCTGATATTATTTTGCTTCAGAATATAAATCCAGATATTGGGAATTGGGAAATATATTCTTAGATGGAAAACCGTACGGTGGAATGACATCGGATTTGTGATTACATTTATACATTTCTCAATAATTCAGGTGTGTCTGCATACTATCATATTCTTGATTTGTTGAAACTGGCATATAGATTCGATAGACTTTTAAAATATAAATTAGATTTAGAAAAATAGATCTTCGTTCTTCGGTATCAGGATTCAAATGATTTTGGATTTTGTAACTCAGCAACAACAAGAGTTTTCCCCACATGGTTCTTCCAAGAATCCAGTTCAACGAACTTTGAAAAGTGTAGGCGTCTTCTTGGTATTAAGTGATTGCATTGTTGATTCCAGGAAGTTGTAGATGTTTTTCTTGGAAATGATATGGCAAATATTTTGAATTCATATATCATGATCAAGTTACAGAATAAGGATCAATAACAAAATGTTCAGACATATGTGCTGGGTTTGCTAGCTACTGTCAAGATTCTGCCTCCCATATCCTCATAGGCATACGGGTGGGAAAAAATCAGGCGGGAGGAAACAGAAATTTATTCAACTTTTCCCCATTGTGCCAGACTTACTGAAAAAAATTTCTGGGTAAACTTTCCATTGAAAACTGTTACTTGTTATTAACATAACAAGTTACATGTTTGCACAGTAGTTTCAAATACTATATTGCATATGTTTTCTTTTAAAGTTATTTCCCCAATTTTTGCCCGAATTACGTTTATATTATAATTTGCCCGACTTCATTTTGACTGGCGGGGCAACTCCCCCCCCCCCCACCCTGTATGCCTATGCCTATCCTTTTTGAATGTTCAGCATCAAGGCCTATATATGCTACTGTTCAAAGCACAGGTAAATATCAGTGGGCTGTAAAATTAGCACAGGTAAATATCAGTGCCCTGTAAAATTTTGAAAATAGTGTAAATGGCCTGCCTTTAATAATTCATACATGTATAAAATTTGTTGAGTGAGACAAGATACTGTCATTCCTTAAGAACCCTTTTAGCAGGCTGAAGCATGGCAAGATAATTATGGGGCTGGGAATTGTATGAAATTAATTACCCATTAAGTTGTATTGTACTCCATGTTATTAATTAAAAATAATTTTACTCTAAGGCCCCGATTACACTATACCGGATTGCATCGAAGCGACGCGATTTCTGTACCGGATTGGCCTCTTGTTTACACTACGCCACTGTAATCCGGTACGTGCCGCGGCGCGAAAATCACTTCGCTTTGGAGGTGATATGAAAAGTAATCCGGTACGTGCTGTACCGGATAAAACCAAGTGTAATCAGGCAATCCGGTACGCTCCGGTACTATAAATGGGTTTCGGCAAGTATATTTTAACATTGTCGTTTTATTTACTCGCTTTTAAATATTTTATAGCTGTTGTTTGCTTCGCTTTACAATAATAATTATTTATTATTTCTAGCGAAGACAAATAAAGATAGCAGTAATAACATTGACTTCTTGCTTTCAAAAGGGCAAAATTTAATGAAATACTCGTCAATTTTCGATAAGAGCGAGACAAAGCAACGTCGGGTGGTCAAGCTTTGTAAACAAAGTTATAATTCACAAGTACTGTCGAGAAAACATCCAAAATGGTCAAAACTTATTATTTGTTTCCGTGGCAACGATAAAAGATACGAGCTGGCGACAGAGCGAAGCGGCATAGTGTAAACACCCTTGATTTTGGCTTCGGTGTGAAAATTGATCCGGTATGAAAATCAATCCGGTATAGTGTAATCCCAGCCTTAGTAGTGCCAGATGATTTTACTCGTCAAGGGGAGAGCACGCCAGCTCAATGGGTTAATAATATGCATGCTGTATTCAGTCTGCCTAATACTGGTTACTAGAAATACATGCATGCAGAAACCCCTCGCCTTGCTAGCAAAACCACTACATGTATATTTTCCAAACACATGAAGTCTTGGTAACACAATCTTTTTATTTTTTATGTAATTTTTTTTAAATTGAAAAATTCCCCCAAATATCACTTTAATTACAATTTCCCAAATATACATGCCAGGTACAGTAGTTATAATGAGTAATGTAAACTTCAATTTAATGTAAAATTCAACCACAAACGTTTTGCAAAATGTTTTAAAATGTTCATAAACTAATTAACTGCCTTTTTTTCTTCTATAAATTTTATGAGTTTGAAATAAAATGATTTCAAATTATGCAATTCTCATTATAAAAATAACTTAAGTTTGCTCTCCTCTCTATTTAAACATTTTAATAATCCAAAATAATAATCAAAGGTCTCAATGAGATGACTCACAGATGCAAGAAGTATGGTTACGTAGCAAATGAAGCAAAGCGAGCAATTTCACCAACTTTTTGGATGACAGCGACTAATGTGGTCGAAATGCTTTTTATATTTTTCGAAAGACAGCAACTAATGTCCTCAAAATGCTTTTTTAAATTAGAATGCTTCGGATCGATAAAGATGCAACTACTTTAAAAATACAGGTACAGTTAGTAGTTGCATCCTTTATTAAATTTTATATATTGAGCTTTCTTATTATTGCCACTACTGTACTTACTGTACACTCCCACAGACCGTTTTTTAAGTTAGACTAACAGATTTATGTGAAATAGCATGGGCTAACACTTTTCATAAATTGAAAATCCCGAGTCTGTGTTTTACAAATTGCAGACCCAGGCAGTAGACTTTTTAGAAAACGTTGCATTGTCCCATTGAGTTGCATGTTTTACAGTATATGCCGGCTGAAATACAAAATTATTGTCATAATTTTAATAACAACTTACAGTATGTCCACGATAGTACATTTATTTAGTATAGTCAGTTTTCTTCCTGTGAATCGTCACTATCACTGACACTGTTATAATTCTTATACAAAACAGTTAGAATACATAAATACCAATTACCAACTAATAAAGATTAAAGGGGGCAAGTTTTTAGTCACTTTAAATGGCTGATTCAGCAATGGCTGATTCAGCAAAATTATCAAGGCAATTTACCAATTGGTGTTCTTCATTCTTCAATGACTTCACCAAGGCAATTTACCAATTGGTGTTCTTCATTCTTCAATGACTTCACCTTTGTGGATAAGAACAAAGAAATTACAAGTCTTTGTCAGCACTGTCAAATATTTAATTGACAACAATTTGTTCTTTAATAGTAATACGGACAAACTAGTCATGTAGCTAGTACGGTGGATATACGCCGACAACGTCAACGGACGAAAGCAAGTGAATCAGTTCACTACAAAACTGCGAAAACGGTACAAATAACACACGTACTGACGCTGTTTGAACATGCACGATTGATTATAAAAGAAAAACTCACCTTATTTATATTATTTCTTTAATTAAATTGCCAATTTGTGCTTTTATATTCTGAGACCACGGCCCACGTGAAACGTATGGCTATGGGGCATGAGACTTTTATATTTATTAAGCGCGCAAAGCAGGCTGGAAGATTATAAGACAATAGAATGCTAATGAGCAGCAGACTCACACATCAAATACTCCTACGACTACGAAGTATCCGTCAGTCAAAAACGGTATAAATTTATTAAAATACACTGAATACGCTGTCTGGTTTCATTATACGCACCATCAGTTTTTTAAAAGAATTAATTTGCAATCAGTGTATACAGTATTAAACAATACATCAATATTTGAAACAAACTTACCTTAGCCCCAGGCTTAGGTTTTACGATTTCCAGCAATCTATTGCCGGTGAACATTTGTTATGATCGAAGCAAAAACAACAATGATTTGTTATGATTGAAGCAAAAACAAATAAACTTTTTGGCTCCTCGTTTCATTAACGATTTTTTCGGGTTTCTGAATAGTGTTTTTCAATTCCCCCCGGAAATTCCCATCTTCCCACTCCTGAAATTCGCCATATTTTTGAGATCGGTGGGGAGGTCCATTCATAACGGTATGAATCATAACCACCCGCCCGCGATTATTGATGAACTTTAAACTGCGCTAATGCTTTCCTTTCTCCTGGAGAAAATAGCCAAGCGGAATTAGTACCCTACGCGCCGCTGGCTCGGGAATATAAAGTCCAGGTTCGTATTCACGAGGCCCATGCACATCCACACCAGTAGACTACACATGCATTGAAATGTCATTGTTATAGACAACCAGATTGGTCAACTAGGGATGATCTGACATTTTCTGTAGGACTGCAGTGAGGTATACTATAATCCCCTTGTACACAGCTCCCACAGAAAATCTGTAGTTTTGAATACAGGCTGAATTGTCATAAATAGTATAACTATTTAATAGATAACTACGCCTTTTAAACTGCGCTAATGCTTTCCTTTCTCCTGGAGAAAATAGCCAAGCGGAATTAGTACCCTACGCACCGCTGGCTCGGGAATATAAAGTCCAGGTTCGTATTCACGAGGCCCACATCCACACCAGTAGACTACACATGCATTGAAATGTCATTGTTATAGACAACCAGATTGGTCAACTAGGGATGATCTGACATTTTCTGTAGGACTGCAGTGAGGTATACTATAATCCCCTTGTACACAGCTCCCACAGAAAATCTGTAGTTTTGAATACAGGCTGAATTGTCATAAATAGTATAACTATTTAATAGATAACTACTGAGGCCAACGGCATTATTCGATATATTGCAGCCAGCTGAGGCCGAAGGCCGAAGCTGGCTGCAATATATCGAATAATGCCGTTTGGCCGAAGTAATTATCTATTATAATTACTGACCCGAATCAAAAGTAATTATTTTCGGACTACATTGCTGCTTGTTGGGACCGTATGACAATGAGTCTATCCAACGTTACACTAGACTCATTTGTGAGGACATGCATGTAATGCATCGTGATAGAACAGATTTCAGTTTAATTAATCGCCCTAAATTAAAATCTGCACAAGCGGAGGTCAATTATAGTGTTCTAGTTTACATATTATCATTAATGATAAGGTTAATTCAAAGAGCGTATTAAACTGGATAAACACGGGAATAGAACTTATGGTGTGTTCTGCACATGCGTATATCTAGGATAAAATCCCACAATCGCAAACGAAACTATTTCTCTATAAAGTTGAGCTGAAAGGACTTGCAGCGACTGTTTTGGCAGTGCTTCAGGCGCCCGATGATATTGTATGAGGGGCCTTTAGCACTGTCAACTTCTCATCTTTGAGATGTTCACGTTATCGCGTGTACTTGTCAGGATGACGAAGGATTGCGAATAATGTCTCTGTGTGCACTGATACACGCTGCATTATTTTTAATAATGCTATGTGCACGCTGCATTATTTTTAATAATGCTTTGTGCACGCTGCATTATTTTTAATAATGCTGTGTGCACGCTGCATTATTTTTAATAATGCTGTGTGCTATTTTAGCCCGTATAAACATTTACCC